AAAAAAAAAAAAAAAAAAAAAAAAAAATTATATTTAGAACGGGCACAGTGGCTCACACCTGTCATTCCAGCTACTCAGAGGCTGAGTTGGGAGGATCACTCGAGCCCAGGAGATTGAGGCTGCAGCAAGCTGCGATTGTTCCGCTGCACTCCAGCCTGGGCAACAGAGCAAGGCCCTGTCTCTAAACAAAGTTATATTGAATAGGCTGGATATGACCGGAAACACGGCTTACTAAGCTTGCCCGATGGCTGGGGATGTGGCCATTCATCTTGGAAAGTGTTGACATGACTCATTTGTCTGGGATCGGGGCTCCAGAATCAGGTGAGAGGGGCATCTGAGACCTTTGACCTTTTACTTCCTGTGAGGGAGGCAAAATCAGTTCCTGACTTTGTGATGCTGACACAGTGGCAGGGAAGACAGGAGGGAGTGCTGGGAGCGGGGAGGCTGCCCAGCTGCAGGCAGAGGTGTGGGTGCAGGGACTGCTCATGTGCGGAGGACACTGCTGGGGCTGGGCTGCCCTGCGATGGGGATGGGGGAGGTGGACATCCATATTTGGGTTCCTCTGACTGGTCTTGAGTTGGAAGTGGGGTCACTGACCGAGTCCTGACCTGCTGTGGCTTCCCCAGCAGGCGGCTATAGGCTGTGGCCAGAGCTCCACCTTTCCCCTGAATGCACGTGAGATATGAGGAATTTAAGAAAAATAATAATCAAGGGGATTCAAGAGACAGAGACAGAGAGAGGGAGAGACAGAGAGAGGGAGAGACAGAGATGAGAAAGACAGAAACAGAGAGAGGGAAAGACAGAGACAGAGGAAGAGAAAGAGAGACAGAGAGAGGGAGAGACAGAGAGGGAGAGACATAAAGAGACAGGGAGAGGGAGAGAGAGGGAGAGACAGAGAGAGGGAGAGATAGAGACAGAGAGAGACAGACACAGAGAGACAGAGAGAGGGAGAGAGAGGAGAGACAGAGACAGAAAGACAGACAGAGGGAGAGACAGAGAGACAGAGACAAAGAGAGACAGAGACAGAAAGAGACAGAGAGAGGGAGAGACAGAGAGAGACAGAGAGACAAAAAGAGAGGGAGAGACAGAGAGAGACAGAGACACAGAGACAGGCAGACAGAGACAGAGAAGGAAAGAGACAGAGACAGAGACAGAGAGACAGGGAGAGACAGAGACAGAGAGACCCTGCCAAGCCCCAGCGCAGCCATGAG